GGAGATATTAACATGTTCTTATGCACTGTAGAATTGTAAATGAGCTGATTTGTGAAGGGTGGTGACGAAATGAGTTACTTTTCGGATTCGAGCCCTATGGAAATAGATACATCACACTTGTAAGTGAAGTTTTTACAATTTATAAGTATGAAATAACAAAAGACATGTTATACTCAAAGAATATGATATCAATGGAAAATCTACAATTTTGACAATAGTGTCAATGTTTGGCCATTATCACCATTTGTGGATTGCAAGAAGTAACTCGTTTTGTCAGCACGTCTCACATTTGTCAATGTCATGTTCATACTGTGCCGGAACAACATAGGGGGAACTGTTGCTTTTTCTTTCCTCATCCTTACTATCGTCATTTTTCTTCTACTTCCTTTGTATGTTTGTCACTCTCTTGTAAACTGCTATTTCCGGGGTGCCTTGATGTCGAAGCAGACTTTGTGCTGTTGAAACTAGAGAGGTGAGCAGAGTAAGTCTGATTCCCCGTTTGGACTTCTCTGTTGACATCCACCCCTTGGCGCTCATTTGACCATATGCAGTTGCGAGCGCCGTAAAAACCTGACTAAAACAAGATACATGACTGTTATTAATAATAATAATAATAATATATAACATTTATAGAGCGCATTTCCAAAAAAAGTAGCTCAATGCGCTTTACATTGGAATACCCATTTTTCATTATTGCGTTTATGTGCTTTTCTTTACTGGAACTCAACCTAATTTTCCTGGAATGAATGAAACGTGTCCATCCCTCTTGACAGGCAGTGTCCACCCTGTGTTTTTATGGTCGCTAAATACCAAAGTTCTGTGTCTAGTCTGCTCTCGTTGCCTCTTCAAACTTGGGAATTTTTATTTGTAAATTTGTCACAATAAATCCAGATGGTGATCAAGTAGCCTACGTCTGTGAAATCTTGTGTTTCTATCGATCTCTATTTTAACCGTTTTTATGGGGGTCTCCGTGGGTAAAGTTTTTTTGGGGTCACCTGGTACTGGATGGTTGGTGGGTGCTCTGGTGTAGTTTGCTTCTTCTTTCCTATCAAATATCTATCGTCCTTATCTCCCCTTCTTCTTTTATGTTTGTTACTCTCTTGTAACACCTCTAATCTTCTGGCGCTCATATGACCTTATGCAGTTGAGAGCGCCGTAAAACCTCTACTAAAACTAAAACCTGGTACTGTAGCCTGCATTTGTATGTGTATCACCCCCAACCAAAAGATCCATCACCACCATCAACATCAACAACAACGACGACAACGACAACGTCCCCACTACCACTTACACCACCACCATCACCATCACCACCGCCACTGACACCCCACCAACAACAAAAACAATACCAACACCACCATCACCACTACTACTTACACCACCACCATCACCATCACCATCACCA